GATGTAGTACCTGGTTCGCAACAATGCTTGGTGCGTGGAGAGAAAAGGTCGCCGCATGTGCCACATGCGGCGTAACCAGGTGCCTTTTGCTGCTCGAGCGCAAGGATCCAGGAGGAGACAAACTGAGTAGTAGCTCTTTTCCTCGACCTTTATGCTGACGTTTTTGGTGTGTAGCCAGATTCCTCGCCGTCAGGTTCGTTGATCCTTCGCTGATGCAGAGGGGACATGAATACCGTACTTCCGTTGGGCATCGTGGCGCAGGTCCTGGTACGGGTGATGGTGGTGCCAAATCTTGGTTCATGACACCACTCATTGCCGATGCGACGGGAGGCTCCAGTGCAAAGCGATTCCACGCCAGTCCATCAGTATACTGCTGCTGCTGCTACAACCTTCCACCACGCTACTGAGCGTGCGTGGTGGAAGTGGTGATCTCACACGAATTGGCCAAGGGAGAATATGTGTGTGTGTTTTTTTTTCCGGCACCATCTGCCGTCTTTCAACAGTAATATTAAGTTGGACGGTATGCAAGACGTGCCTGGGAATGCAGTGCAAGAAACCGTTTCGAAATCGGCTCACATTTCAAGGACATATGCCCAAAACAGTGGATCGGGGGGAGTGGAAAAAAAACAGCCAAAAAACAGCCCGACCGGGCGAACGCCTCTTCAAGTTTTTTCGCGCTCCGCGCGAAAATTTATATAATACGTCCCCGCCTAGCCCTACCTATGGGCCCTGAGCCCAACTGCAGCAAGTTGTTTCGTGTCGCCGCGTCCGTGCCGTTTCGAATTGATTGCTCTTTGAGTTTATTGTTGTCGTGCGCCCTTCTCCTTAGTTTCCTGTAGTTCTGTTACATGTAGATTGTATGGGGAGCGCCTTGAACCAAGAGATCATTTTTTTTCCTCCTGTGACCAGCATCACGGAAAAAGCGGCTCACTTAAAGGTGACACAAGATACCACACCCCCCGCGGTTTACCGGTTTTCACAGAACAATTTCTCCATAACAGAACAGTGGTAGCGCGGACAACGGCGACGTTGAAACCGTATCAAGAGCTTTCCGAAAACGCATCGTTTCATTTGTGCATCCTCTTCGTCGTGGCGTAATCGCGCTTCGAAAATCACTCCAGGGGGTGTGGTATCTTGCGTCATTCACGGTTGATCTACATAACACGAAATGCACTTGGAACTCAACAGGACTGCAAAACGGACTCCTACATACCCGTTGCAGGACACATGCTTATGTCTACCTCACATAGCATCTGGGGCCGGCCGGAAACGGCCTAATTTCTTTAGAGAAAAGACGAAAGATAACCACCAATGAAAATGCCAACCCAAGATACAAGTACAAGTAGGCCTCCGTGAAGTCCTGACCGTGAATGTTCAGCGACGCATGCCGGAAACGGGACTACTGTAAAGCGTTGCCGTTCGACCGGCCGGGCGGCCGACGCTCGAAGCGCTACACAACACGCCCAACTAGCCGCAAGTGTTGCCATGTTGCAAACTGCCTCGTTTGACTATATTTAGTCTACACCCCACATCACCGGGACAGCAACTAAGAAAGGCCGTCGCCTTGTCTTTTTCTGCCTGGCTGTATCGTAAAACAAAGGCAACCAACCACAATATTCCTCTTCAACCCAAACCAAAATGTACAGCTGACCGAGAGGAGGTTCATATTCTATTCACAGAAACGGCGCGGCGGCGGGTCCACAGGAATCCTGCCGGTTGTAAACGCCGGCGCCTCGTGTGCCCTCAAGTCTGCGGGGCTGATGACGTCTTCGTCTGTGTGCCATCTTTTCACCACCTCTGGTGGTACGGTGCCTGCTGCCAACGGCGGGAGGAAGGGGAAGGGGGGGGGGTGTACTCGTAATCATGCATTCCGTAGTCGTTAGACCATTGACCTCGCATCCCTACAAAGCCGGGACGGAGCACGCCGGGTTCTCACCGGACCAGGCTCTCACATCACCAAGCGCGAAGCGCCGTGAGGTATTCGGCGAGTCGCATGAAGGGTATGCTGCATCCTGCTAAGGCT